AAAAATGAAGCATGATTATCTAGCTAGTGTTTCAGTGGTTGTCAATTTATAGTGTTCCAATGATTATCATGTGAATGTGTTTAAACTTAAAAATGACTTAGAATAGTTGTCAGTTTAATTCTACTCAGTATTTCAATAGTTAGTAATTGTTAGTTTAATTTTGTGGCTACTCAATGTCAAGTTTACGGATCTGTTGATGTTTAAATCCCCATGTCGTTACTTTTAAAATCTGATTGCCTCCTGTTCTTGTGTGGGTTCGATACGCGAATCCCTTGGTCTCCATCCTGTGCGTGCTTCATAAAGGATTGGGCTCTCTGCTTGGGCTAGAATGGAATTTGTTGTGGAGCCCATAACCTTGCAGCTTGGTGACTTTATTGGGCCATTGGGCCTCACGTCAGGCCAAGCCTCAGAATAAAACTGAACCCCCTAAATATTAGTTTAATGGATCGATGTTGAACTTTAGCTCTGAATAACTTTCATCTCTTTACTAAGTAGTGTTTTTCCAAGTTGGTTGAGGTGCCATATTAAATAGAATATAGCTTATGGCCCTCAAAGTTTAGTTTGAATCGCTTTAAAATTAGAATCGGGGTGTGCCGTGCCAAATAAAATCTCAAATGCAAGGCCCTCGCTTAATTAATATTTTTATCCTTAGAAATCGAGGCGCACCATTTAGTTGAATTTCCATGGCCCTCGCAAAGTTGAAAGTGCGTAGTTGCTTTAGGCGCTATTTTAATATTACCTTCCTAAACTCGGGTGTGCATTTCATGTGACCCAAATCCAAATCTTAACAACGTTAAATAAAATGTGTCTCGTACTGCGGGTGCATTTCATGTGGCGTGGTCCAAAGACGTATTTTAGATGACGTTGTAATCTTCCTTAAAATAAGTAAAGCGGTGATAAAGTTGAAATGGAACCATAGGCTAAGACATGTATTAAAATCAAATAAATAGGCCAAACATAACAGTTGAGCGACCGTGCTAGAACTACGGAATCCGGGAATGTCTAACACCTTCTCCCGGGTTAACAGAATTCCTTACCCGGATTTCTGTGTTCGCGGACTGTAAAACAGAGTCAATCTTTTCCTCGATTCGGGATTTGAACCGGTGACTTGGGACACCATAAAACTATCCCAAGTGGCGACTCTGATTTTCTTTAATAAAATGATCCCGTTTCGATTGTCACTTTAAGTTGGAAAAAACTCCCTTATACCCTTCCGGGTGTAGGAAAAGGGAGGTGTGACACACGCCGTGACTGCGCACGTAGATCGAGGAGGAATAAAATGAGGTTTTGAAGACCTTGGAACACGTAATGGAGTTCTAAAATATAAGATGATCCTTTGGGTCATCACAACTTTTAGCTAAATATCAAATACTCAAAAAAAAAAAGGTAAGGTAAAAAAGCAAAAGACTCATTATGTGCATTTCCTATGTTATAAAACTCCCAATATAGTATTAAGCATATGGAGATTGAGGGAACAAAGTGGAGCATGCCACCTTGGGTGTTAGCTAGTATTAGGAATCTGAACAATTCAAAATATCCAACTAAAAGGTGATTAAAGAGGTGGGTTTTATTAACTAATTACACCTTTAATTAAGTGGAGGTAGAGACCACCGTTAAAGCAAGCCTATGGTATTATCTTTATGCCATGTATTTCTTTTAAACCATTTGATATTTAATTCGTACTACGTAGTGTTCATTAAAGGGAGAAATGCTTTATATTAGAAAATTTTCTATTTTTATGACTCAAACCAAAATCTCTAATTAAAGGTGAAATTTTTTCATTCATCTCTAAGCGATGACATATATCTTTTTCAATTTTCAACCTCAATTTCTGGAAAGTTCAAACTAACACCACGGATTTATGCTATATAGAATTGATAATTGAATTAATCTTTTTGTTTCATATTATATGACGATGTTTTAGTCAATAAAATATCAGTAGAATATTTTATATGACTTAGTAATTATACTATTTCACTAATATAAAGTAATATTATTAGTAAAATAATGACAAATATTTACCAGATGGGAGATGAAAATAATGTCAAATATTAATGTTATACGACGAATAAAAATTGTTTCATCTAAATTAAAATAAAAAAGAATACATTTTTGAGCTGTTTTGAAGGTAAGAAAATTTGAATTAAATCCAAAGTGACAAAGTTGTTCCAACTTTCCGTTTTTCCCTTTCTGTTTTGTTGTTCTTTTGTTTTTATTAGTAGTAGGTACTATACTCTTTTGAGCATCTCCAACCCTTGCACCATTTTTTTATACTAAAATAGTGTAAACATCAAAATGGTGCAAAGTAACTCCAACCCATTACACTATTTTTTACATCAAAAAAGAATATTCCTTTTATATTCTTCTCTCTCTTCCATATTATATTATTTTCTTTATAAAATAAATTCTTTTTTTTACATATTTATCGCATATAATTCATATTTCTTTCTTATATAATTATTTAATATAAAATTATTTTATACCTTTAAATTTTAAATAAATATAAATTATAAGCAAATATTATACATTATACATATTAATGTATAATTCAAATAAAAATGAAATCATTGAATAGGATATAACTAAATAAATATTACATTATGGTAAAATATAGTTTAATTTTTACATGAATATTCAACTTACAAGATTAGTATGTTGCTCCCATAAATGCTCTATGAATGCATTACGAAGTGCAAAATGAACATCTTTGTCCTTAATATTTTGGTGCCGAGCTAAAAGTTGTTCAAAACGGTAATTTTCCCATCCCATTATGTTATTTAATGTATTTTCAATTTAATCTATGTCAGTCGCTATTGTATTAAATATTTTTATATGATAATCAATGAACATTGTGTTATTTATTAACAACATATTATATTTCAGTTTTGCACTTTTTATTTTTTGATGGTTATATATTTTTATACGATTATAATTTATAATAAAATTAACTTATAATTTTATATAAAAATAAAATATACGAAAATTAATTTATAAAAATTATATACCAAAATTAAAATATAAAATTAATATATATAGATATTACATAAAAACTATAATTAATTATAAAATTATAATATGTTAATTAAAAGTGTTATATAATAAAAGATAATATTAAAATAATGGTGAATAGTAATGATGCTAATGAATAGTGTTATACTAAACTATTCACACATCAAAATGGTGTAAGAAATAGTGTTGAATTGGAACAAAAAAAATATCAAATGTTACGCTAAAATAGTGTTTGGTGTCAAAATTGATTGAGTTGGAGATGTCTTATACTGCAAATGTAGTAGTTCAGCTGTCACCAATCAAAGTGTGTAAACAAGAGACTCTGCACACATTCTTATCCTTTTAAAAATCAATTCCATTGAAATTTGATCGAATTGGGTCCCACACCACATGGCCCCCACGATACAAGACCACTAGGGCTTGTCATAGTAGTAGGCATTGGGTCCCGCTAGATGCAGGGGACCATCTCTAAAACCTCAACTATGCCTTCTTGATGTAGTAGAAGAAAAGCAATGGCGTAAAATTTTATTTGGTGTCACATATAACTGACACTAGTTATATAAGGTATTTTTTTGTCTTATAATTTTATGGACCCAGATTTTTATGGACCCAGAAGTGTAAGATAGGGGTCCACAAATTTGTGAGACAAAAAGGAGCCTCACACAACTAATGTAAGTTGTGTGAGACACAAAATAAAACTTCTCAGCAATGGCAAATGTTCTTTTAAATTAGTATTGTGGTAGGATGGACATGATTTCTTATGCCCTTTAGAAGTCTCTATCCCTAGAGTTTTATGCAATACGAATTCCAATTAGCTCTTCAATCTGATCAAATACAGAGTGAGAGTAATTTAACAACAACAAATGCAGTTTAATCTCACAAGTGAGTTATTTTTAAAAAAAAAAACTTTATAAGAAAATTTTTCCTCATTTAAAGGGTCTTATGCGACACGAATTCAAACTAGCTCTTCAATATAATCAAATACAGAGTGAGAGTAATTTAACAACAACAACAACAACAACAAAAAACGCAGTTTAATTCCACAAGTGAGAGCAATTAAAAAAAAAAAAGCAAATGGGAATCTCTTTTGGTACTCACCAACCATATTGTCATGTTAATACGTTTCAACACTAAAAGGGCTAATATTCTTCTCATTCCCACATTTTAGACTATGTCTAGCATACTACTATCAAACTAGGTAGGCTTATATGTTATTATCACTAACGTGTAGTTTATTGTACTAACACTCCTAGCTAATTAGTGGAGGTGTTGGACTAATGTAGCGCGCACACAATGTAAATTGATGCAAAATTTTGGTAATATAACCTCTACTTACAACATATATTTGTCCTCCATTTTCATTTTCATGCTAAATCGTTCAAAATTCTGATGCATGAATACTTTAGCTAGCCACCTTTATTTACCATTAGCAGCTTTTTATAATCATCATAGATTCTCTTGAACCCCTTTTTTTAAACTGAAAAATTAAAAGCAGAGCTGTGTGAGACTTCAAAGTAGTATAGTACTTACCTAATCATCCCTGCAAAAGCCAGCCTTTACTCAAACTCACACACTTTCCTCGTCCCCCAACCACCCAACCAGTCTACAATACCCCCACGTGAACAACCCCC